AGGGGAGGCAGTGGGATAAGAGAGAAGCTGGACACTACTCTGGTGGAGGGGGCAGGGGAGAACGTGAGATCCAGAGCCCCTGAGCAGGGGAAAGCAAGGCTTCAGTCTGTCCACGCTCAGACACACACACACAGATACTTCCACAGACAGACTGACACACAGATGGACACACACACACCTAGAGACACACCCAGACAAATAACCAGAGATGCACACAGACAGGCAGACAGACACACTTCCAGACACACAAAGAAACACACAGAAACTCAGATGGACACAGAGACACCCAGACACACCCAGCAAGCCCTCTTTCTAAGTCTTTTCTGGACAAAATCCATTTCTCATCTGGCCTCTCCTCATCCCGCCTGCCCTTAATGAACGTTTATGAAGCACTGCTGTATGCCAGGCCCCGTTCTAGGTGGCAGAAGGTGGCTTTGTTTAAAGAATCAAGTGTGGGGGGGCTTCTCTGGTGGCTCAGTGGTAAAGAATCCACCTGCTAGTGCAGGGGACATGAGTTCGATCCCTGGTTCGGGGGAGGATCCCACATGCAACTGAGGCTGCGTCCAACAACTATTGAGCCTATGCTCCAGAGCCAGGGGAACTGCAACTACTGACCCCTTGCATTGCAACTCCTGAAGCGCGTGCCCTCACCCTCATTCCCCTCAACTAGAAAAGACCCAGCACAGCAGAAATTTTGTTGTTCAGTATCTCAGTCATGTCCAGCTCTGCAACCCCATGGACTGCAGCACCCCAGGCTTCCCTGTCCTTTACCATCTCCTGGAATTTGCTCAAACTCATGTCCATTGAGTCGGTGATGCCATCCAACCATCTCATCCTCTGTCACCCACTTCTCCTCCTGCCCTCAATAGCCAAAAAAAGTAAATGCATACATGAAATCATCAATAACTTAAAAAGAAAATAAGGAACCAAGGGGACCCCATGGACAAGCAGGAAGAGTATTTCATCAGAGGAACAGCCAGTGCAAAGTCCTCTCCTCTCTCCCATCCTCCCCACCCTATCTCCTCCCCAGCCTTGACTCAAGCCATTTGGAATGGGGGGTCACAGAGGGAGAGTGGTCCCTCTAAGGATCCCTCCGCCCCACCTAGCCTGATTATCTTCCATCCCATAGAAGAGGATTCCACGGGACTCAGAGAGGCCGTGTCATACACCCAAGGTCACACAGCATGAACGTGGGCTCAGATCTGTCTGAACCAAGGGCCTCTGTCATCAGAAAGAGAAGCTCCTCACTAAGGGCAAGACCCTGATGGGCAAAGGCTTGGCCAGGGAGGACAGTCAGCCAGGGCCTGGGACACCAGATACCTGTCCAGTGTGAGGGACTGGAGTGAGAGTCATGAACCGAACCCTCCTGGGCACAGAGAGGTGGTGACAGACAGACAGACACCTGGGACTTCAGTCCCTGCCCCACCAGGCCAGGGAGCAGCAGCCCCTGAGACCACCAGAGTGGGCACAGAGTCCAAAAGAATGGGTGATGGGGACACATAGCAGGGGGTGTGGGTCTGACCTGGGTGGGTCCTCAGACCCTGGCTGGGCTGTCGGTCCTGATTTTGAAATCGTGTCAGGATCAGAGGGGGGTCTGACAGTGCAAGCAGGACTCCGGATGGGAGGTTGGGGCTCTGTCTGAGTCTCCTATTGCTACAGAGACAAATCATCAGAAATTTGGTGGCTTAAAACAATTCACATTTACTATCCGACAGTTCTGGAAGTAGGAACCAAAAACGGGTCTCACTGGGCTAAAATCAAGGGGTCAGTAGGGCTGGATTCCTTTTGGAAGTTCTAGGGGAGAATGTGTTTCCTGGCCTTTTCCAATTTCTAGAGGCTGCTAATCCTCCACCTTCAAAATCAACAGGTTAGCATCTTCCCATTTCTTTCTCTCTGACTCTCCTCTCTCTCTCTTATAAGGACCCTTATGGGTATTCGCTGTTGGTTCTTCAGTGTTCGGGACTCTGAGATTCCGCCGTAGGTGGGGCCAGTTTGATCCCTGCTCGGGGAAATAAGATCCAATACGTCATACAGTGGAGAAGGGCATGGCAACCCACCCCAGTATTGTTGCCTGGAGAATCCCCATGGACAGAGATGCCTGGCGGGCTGCAGTCCTTGGGGTTGCAAAGAGTCAGACACGACTGAGCGACTAACCATGACCACCACAGGCCACACAGTGCAGCCAAAAAAATGAATGCTAATGAGGAACCTGTGATGATGTTGGATAATCCCCCCATCTCCAGATCCTTAACTTAATCAGCCATGCAAAGTCCCTTTTGCCTTGTAAGTTCACATATTCACAGGTTCCAGGAGTTAGGATGTGCAGGCATCCTTATATTCTGTCTAGCACAGGGCTCATTGTCCAGGGTTTAGAGTCCAGCCTCCAGACCTGGCCATGATGACCCCAGAGTCTAGAAAAGGCCACTGGGACCAGCCATCGGACTGGGGGGTGGGGGCACAGAAGGGACAAAGAAGCCCTCAGTTTATTACCTGGATCAGGGCTTATGAGCCTCCCCAATCCTACCTTCCTGTCCCACCCTCAAGTACAGAGGGTGTGAAAGTGTGGAAGGAGGCAAGGAGCTCCCCAAGTCTCCCTACGGTCCCCCTTCCCACCACCCAGACACCCTACATTGGACCCACCAACTTAGAAATGACTCCATTCCCCTACTCTCACCACCCAGGACCTGGCCTCCTCTGATTCCCCCATACCCTGGAGATTTTACTGCTAAATCCCTCTGGAGTTCCTCTCTTCACTCCTGTCTACAACTCCCAGATCAGACCCCAGCTGCTCCTGCTGCTGTCTCATTTTAAATCTGATTGTGTCTAACTTCAAATCTGACTGTGCCTCCCCCCAGAGAATCCTGGAGGGCCCTGTCCTCTCCTCACTCACCATCGGACCCGAATTCAGCTGAATCCCCCCGGTTGCAGATGTCACCTCTTCCAGGAAGCCTGCCCAGAACACTCCATGCTCATAGCTGGAGTGGGGAGTGGGTGGGCACAGAAGGGCAGGGAGTAGTGGAGAAGTGGCCCGTGTGCAGAAGGTCCAGCCTGCATCTCTTTTTGCCAGGCGAAGCCCTTCCTCCAGCCTCCCCACCTCTGCCCAGAAAGTACCTCCCACCTGAAACCTCTCCCTGACCCCAGCCCACCCAAATCCTCTTTTGAGGACCTACCCTCTACACCTTTAGGAACCTGCTGCTCCTCCTCTGGGGCCTGAACTGCCCCCATCCTACCAGGTCTCTGGTGTCACTATTAATCCAAATGGCTCTCATGTTCTGCACACCCCCAGGTGCAAGGTACTGTGGACATGACTGAGGGACTGAACAACAAAATTTTCACGATGCTGAGAAAAGAGTATTGTTTGACTTATCCTTGTGTGCAAAGGAGCTCTTGGACTTCCCTGGAAGCTCAGCAGTAAAGAATCTGCCTGCCAATGCAGGAGACACGGGTTTGACCCCTGGGTGGGGAAGATCCCTTGGAGAAGGAAATGGTAACCCACTTCAGTTTTCTTGCCTGGAACATCCCATGGACAGAGGAGCCTGGTGGGCTACATACAGTTCATGGGGTCACAAAAGAGTTGGACAAGACTGAGCAGCTAAACAACAAAGGAGCTCATGGAGGAAGAGGAGAGAATAAAAGGGTGAATGTGGATGGTGGGGCAGAGGGGGCAGGGGGGCTCTGAGAACCAGACTGAGAGCTGAAGAAGGATGCACACATTTGGGAAGAGAAGGGACAGTGCAGCAGAGGGAACAGAAGGTGCAAATGCGGGCAAGTTGGATGGAGTGGGACAGCTTCAACCACACTTGCTACAGTTGGCTCTGCTGTCCTCCCCCTTTGTGTGTGTGGAACTCAATCTCAGAAGATGTGAAGCAACTTGCCTAGGGCCCCACAGCCAAAATAACCTAGGGTTCACCCACCTCGCCCAGGGTCTGCTACAGGGAGAGACTTATTGTTCAAAGGTGAGCCACTTGCCTAGACGTTGTGGGGTTGGCCGGTGGTTCTGGAACCCTGTTCCCTTCAACTGGCGACAGCTGGGCTGTAAGTCTCTTAGATGCTGCCCAGGTGCTTACAGACTACCTCTGCGTGATGCGGGATTGCCCAGCATTCACGGCTTGCCCTGGCTCCCTGCCCCTGTGCGCCCGGGGCGGGGGGTGGGGGGGTGGTGTCACCTTCTGTTCCTCCCTACAAGAGGAAGCCTGGGGTTTCGCCACCACCAACACCGTTCTCCCTCCCTGCCTTTATCTTCCCAGCTCTGCCACTTATCTCTGCACCCCACTGAACCACAGACTCGCCCACTTGCCCTATAACGCCTCCCAGCCCTCAGGGGGGTTCCTTGGCTTCCCAACTCCGCAGTTGGTCCCATGAACCAAAAACTGGACCAGCTCGGCCTGAGAGCTGGGACAGGTCACCAGACCTTGGGGGCACTGCGGTGGCCTCCGAGGCCTGAGGTGGTGAGTCGGGGGCCTTCTGCACAACACCCAGCGGTGCACTCAGGCGGGTCCAGGCACGCGTGGTGTGTCGGCAGATACAGCCAGGCCAGCAAAGAGGACACGTGAGGGCGCTGGAGAGGACTTGCAGAGAACGGAAGAGAAATGCGGGCCGGACTGAGCGCGCAGCAGATGGAGGTAGGTTCAAAGGAAAGAGCTACCGCAGAGCGAGGAAACCTGTGGCAGGGTTCAGGCTAAACAGCGCCGCGGGGCGGGGCGGGGCGGGACTGGAGGCGGGGCCCCGTGGCGCGGGGCGGGGTTGGAGGCGGGGTCCCTTATGCGGGGCGGGGGTCTAGGAAGCGGCCTTGTCGCAAGAGGGGCCCGAGCGCCGCTAGGACCCCGAGCCTTGAGGGCCTCGGCCCGGCCCCGCCCTCCAGGCCCCGCCCCCCGATCCCGGCCCGCGCTGCCCCCAAAGCCTGCTTCCCGGCCCCCCGCAGAGGCGGTGCCTGAAGCAGAGTCCCGGTGCCCGTGCCGACTGCGCGCGTCTCCTCCTCCGCATCTGCGGCAGGCGAGCTGTCAGCCACCCACCCCACCGCCGGCCCCTGGTGCTCCCGGCCGCCTGCGCCCCCCAGGTAAGTGAGACCCCAGCCATCCGAACGCGGCCGGGAACGCCACCCTAGCAGCGAGCTCCGGCCCCGCCTCCACGGCCATGGCGTCCGCGGCGGTCCTCAGACACAGCCGCTGTCCCCCATCCTCGCCCGGGACGGCCTCCCGGGGCTTCCCGTTTGGTCCCAGGCCCCGGCCGCCTCCCTGAGAGAGTCCCGCTCCCCCGAGGGCCGGGGCGCAGCGAGCGCAGGAGGACGCGGCGGCTGCGTAACGGGTGGGCGAGAGTGGGGACGAGCCTAACACGACGGGGGCGGGGGCGGGGGGTGGTCGTGGGGAGTCCGGAATGTGTGAACGCGAGGAGCGCGATTCGGGGGTCTGTCGGTCGGTCACCAGAGAATCTGTACCTGCTGGGGATGCAGCCGGGGCCCTAACCTCAGAGCCCGCAACCCGGCCGCGTAGACTGCTAGGACCCGCGTAAACAGACACGGATCATGTCAGCCCATGCACAGTGCGCAGAAGACCACACCTCTGGGAGATGGGCTAGGGTCACGGAGGAATCCTCGGAAAAGGTGTCAGCCAGGCCTGAGAGAATCAGCCAGCGAGGGGTTTTTAGGCCCAGAAAACAGCAAAAGATTATGAGTCAGGGCCTAAACTGTCGTGTCTGCAGAGCGGAAAAGAGGCGAGCATGGCTCAAGTTCGGTGAGCCAGGTATCCGAGGTGCGAAGACCTTGGCCTCGGCCCAAGAAGATAATGAGCAGTGTGTGGATTCCGTTCTCAGGTCTGTGGGGACCACGGAGGCTTAGGACAAAATGAGTGACCGGGTCCAGCTGTGTCTTACAAAGATCCAGCAGCTACTCTGCTCCCCAAAAAGAGATGGGAGGAGGAGACTGTGGGTTTGGACCCGACAGGAAGGGGGCGATGGAAAGTGGGCGGTTTGGGGTTCTTTGGCAGAGGGACTTCGCCTGCATTCCCTGCCTGCTCAGAAGTGGGGCGGGAAGACAGGTGCATGGAAGAGATTTCTGGTGTGGGCAGCTGAGAGTGTGGAAGGATGGGGAAACCGAGAGAGAAACAGGTCAGGGGGTGTGAGGCTGTTGTGACTCAGACTGATTTGCAAAACCCGAGATGCCACTTGAGGGGGGACGTCCTGAAGACACCGCTGGGAACCCAGGCCAGGTCCAAGGTGACTGAGTGCAAGGGGGCAGCCTGGACCTGTTGTATGGGGCCACTTGAAATAGAAATTCTGGAGTGTAGAGGTGTCTTTGAAGCCCCCAGAGTCCCCAGCCTCAACTCAGCCCCCTTCCAGGAGCCTGTGTGTGTGCGTGCTCAGTTGTGTCTGACCCTGCCACCCCACAGACCATAGCTTACCAGGCTCCTCTGTTCATGGAATTTTCGAGGCAAGAATACTGGAGTGGGTTGCCATTCCCTTCTCCATGGAATCTTCCTGACCCAGGGATTGTCCTGCATTGGCAGGTAGATTCTTTACCACTGAGCCACATGGGAAGCCCCTTCCGGGAGCAGCTGCTATGAATAAACTTGGCGGTGATGGGAGTTCCCGGAAGCTCACTCAGCATACCTGGGTCCCTGAGGCCCCAGCCAGGCTGCAGGGAGGAGGCAGTTGCAACCTTCCTTGCCCGGCCTCCCCGCTCACCTATTTCCAGCTGGGAGGGAGCCTTGGTCATTGCACTGGTCTTGGGTCCCTAGAGAAAGTTTTCTAGGCTTCAGTTTGCCCATCTATAAAATGGGTCCATAGTACCTGTATCTGGGGATGATGTTCCAATCAAAGGCTGCCTCAGCTAGGAAATAAAAAGGGGCCAATCCCAAGGGCAGCCTTATGCCTCGGGTGAGGGGGAGGGGCTGCAGCTCTGGTGGGAGTTCAGGGCCTGGTGAGCCTCCATTTCTTGCTCTGAGAAATGGGAAGAACTCATAAGTGCATCCACCTCCAGAACCCACAGGCGTCGGCAGATCAAGTGAGTCAGGCATGTAAAGTGTTTGGTTGGCCCAGCGCCCAGCACAAAGTGCTCGCTGGGCACAGGAACTGCTGTCATGATTGTAGTTGGCTGTGGGGAGCGGGCCAGTCCTCCTACCACCCCTGGGATGCCCACAGGAAGACAGGCGCTGGGGGGCACGCGCCTCTCTTATCTGGGCCCTGCAGGCTGTCCCCTCTCTGGCTGCTGGAAGCTGCCTCTGAGCTCATCCTGCCAGTTTGAATGCAGTGTTCTCAGGCTAGTGACTTCACCTCTGGTTCAATTTCTTCACCTGTAAAATTGGAAATAATAGCAGTCATCACCTCAGGGGTGAGCGCAATGCCTGTCTCGTAATAACAACGACCTGGTAAAGCAGAGTGGATGCCTGGAGGGGTAGGGGGGAGGAGGAGGGAGGAGCCCAGAGAAGCGACCTGACTCAGCCTCGAGGGGGGTCAGGAGTCAGGCTTCTTGTTGGAGGTGACCACTGGCCTGGTTGCTGAAGATTGTTAAGAGTTCATGGGCAGGACTTCCTTGGAGGTCCAGTCATTAAAAGTCTGCCTGCCAATTCGGGGGATGTGGGCTCAATGTCTGTTCTGGGAGGAGTCCATGCGTTGTAGGGCAACCAGCCCCATGTACCGACACAATGGAGCCCGTACTCTAGAGCTGTGACTGCTGAAGCCTGCGTGCCACAAAGTCCGCAGCAAGAGGAGCCGCTGCAATGAGAACGCCATGCGCCACACCTGGAGAAAGCCTGTGCACAGCACCAGAGACCCAGCGCAGCCAAAAATAAGTAAATAAATAACATTTTTCAATTAAAAGGATAGAGTTCACGGGCAGAGAGACCAGTGAACAGAGATGTGGAGGGGAGTAACCTTGGGTAAATGGGAGAAGCTGGGGGCAAGGAGCCAGGAAATCAGCATGAGAGAGACTGCACTAGTCCAGACCATGATGAGGCTGGACCAGGTGGAGGTGTGGATGAGTGAGAAGTGAGTAGATCCTGGATAGACTTGAAGTTGGGCTTCCTGAGTGGCTCAGTGGTAAAGAATCCGCCTGCAAAGCAGGGGACACAGGAGGTGAGGGTTTGATCCCTGGGTCGGGAAGATCCCCTAGAGAAGGGAATGGCAACCCACTCCAGTATTCTTGCTTGGGGAATCCCCATGGACAGAGGAGCCTGGCAGGCTACGGCCCATAGTGTTGAAAGAGTTGGATGCGACTGAAGCAACATAACATGCACGCACACCTTTGTCAACATGATTCTGTCACACCAGGTCTCCACCCTGAAACAGCAGGAGCTCACCCCTCTCCCCACATCCTCCTAGGCTTCCCAAATCATATGGTTTCAGGGCCATGAGTATGTCTGGGGAGGGGGTCAAGCCCCTGCCAGCCAGCCCTTGGGGATCCCCTTCTACCTTGCGTTGGTCCCCAGTTCCCACCCGCCCCATCTGTCATTGATTCATTCAGTACGTGCTGATGAAGTATGCGTGCTGGGAGGCAGTGGGGACTAACAGTGAACAAAATGAAGCTTCTTTGCCACCCCCCACCACCATCACCTCACTGGTGGAGCTGATGTTCTGGGAAGGGGGCAAGAGAAACCTGAAGGATGAGAAGGAGCCAGCCAGGCGAACATCTGGAGGAAGGGCATTTTGGGCAGAGGGTCCAGCATGTGCAAAGATCCTGAGGCAGGACCCAGCCCTGCATGTTAAGAAGTTTAGCAAAGAGGCCCATGTGGCTGGAGCAGCATGAGCCAGGGGGGAGAGTGTCAGATGAAAAGACTGAGGGTCCTTAGGGCCCCTCAACCCAACAGTTGCAGACCCTGGGTGGGTCCCTGCTCAAGGGGGAGTGAGGTTACTGGGCCCCACTGCTGTGCAGTTTGCTCTGGTGTGTTGTTCCCTTTGTGGAGTGGACAATGTGCCCCAAAAGCAGAGGAGGCTGGCAGGCAGAAGGAAGAGAGGGCCAGCCCTTTCCTGGTGGGCCAAGCTGATGTTGGGAAAGATTGAAGGCAAGAGGAGAAGGGGGCAACAGAGGATGAGATGGTTGGATGGCATCACCGACTCGATGGACATGAGTTTGAACAAACTCCGGGAGATAGTGAGGCACAGGGAAGCCTGGCGTGCTGCAGTCCATGGGGTTGCAGAGTCGGATACAACTGAGCGACTGAACAACAAAGCTTCTCCCCTTCCTTCTGCACTTGCTGGGGGCTCTGCTGACCTGGGAGGCTTCCTGGAAGGGCTGGAGGGAGTGGAAAGAAGGAACAAGGGGGAGGGTGCTAATGGAGGCTGAGAAGGGGTCCAGGGAGGAAGAGGAGGAGGACACAGAGCCCAGAACTGGGTGTTGGGGCAGCATGTTCACCGGGAGGTGACAGGAGATGGCAGGCAGGGGCCTGCTGAGCCTTGAGGATGAGCAGCAAAAACCCAAGCAGGTATATTTTGAGGATGGCCCCTCCACCAGCCCACAGTCACTCCCTTTCCAGGTGTAGGAGAAAGGATTTGGCGTCCCGCCCCATACCCCCTGTGAACAAGGACCTGGTCAGCTGTGCCTGTTGACCCTTCCCATCTTCACCATTCAGCTGGGTGTGCACCAAACCCCTCCAGTTTCAGAGACTCGGCGGTTGTGGTGCATGGACTTAGTTGCCCTCTGCAAGTGGGCCCTTAGTTCCCTGACCAGGAATCGAACCCTGAGGTCACAAAGAGTTGGACACGACTGAGCATGTATGCATGAACACAGGTCTGCAGACCTGTCAGGGTCCCAGAGGAGCCAAGGGTTGAGAGAGAGGCAGACCGTGAGCTTTGGAGAAAAAAAGCCAGCCTGGACAGATCTGCTGTTGCATTGCAAGGCAAATCTTTAACCACTGGCCCACCAGAGAAGTCCCTGAAGACAGACTTAGATTTCAATGAATCCGAACTCTTCACTTCCTACCCATCCCCTCCCTGTGCCTCGGTTTCCCCAGCTGCAAAATGGAGATGACAGAAACACTGGGCACTGGACACCAGCCACAGCTTCCTGGGAGCCTGACCAGAGAGGGGAAGGAGTTGGGGGCAAATTAGACCCTGGAGCGGGACACTTAGGACTTTCCCGTGTATTCCTAGAATTTTTCAGAAATGTGTGAAGAATGAGGGGAGGGGGGCTACTTTACTTCTGGTAGCCCAAGTCTCTCTTAAAGGTAATATGTGTGTGTGTGTGTGTGTGTGTGTGTGTGTGTGTGTGTGTGTGTGTGTGTGTGTATATATATATATATATATATATATCTTCCCCCCCTCTTTGTAGGTTTTGAATCTTTCATTTTAGGATAAAAATTTTTTTCATAACCCATTTTTCAGGACAAATGCCATGACCCTTTAGGATGTATGTGATCAGTATGTTATCTTTAGAGTTTTATTTTATTTTGAGGTGGACCATTTTAAAAATCTTTATTGAATTTATTACAATCTTGTTCCTGTTTTATATTTTGGGTTTTTTTGGCCTTGAGGTGAGGCAGGTGGGATCTTAGCTTCCTGACCCAGGGTGAAACCCACAACCCCTGCATTGGAAGGCAAAGTTCTTAACCACTGGACTATCAGGGAAGTCCCTGGACTATAGATTTTAAGGCTATTCTTGAAGGAGGTAGCAGACTGTCCTCAGGTACCTGCTTCCTCTGATGTAGTTCTCACTGGCAAAGTAGTGACTCTGAATGTTGAAACTGTTACCTTTTCTACACAACCAGATTCACATGACATTTGCAGCCACAACTTTCATTCAGGGCAGTCCTTTGTTGTTGTTATCATTTTATTTATTTCTGGCTGTGCTGAGGCTTCGTTGCTACACAGGCTTTTCTCTAGCTGCAGCAAGCGGAGACTACTCTTCTTGCCGTGCACAGCCTTCTTATTGAGGTGGCTTCTCTTGATGGGGAACGTGGGCTCACGGTCCCTGGGGCTTCAGTAGTTGTGACTCGGGGGCTCTAGAGCACCGGCTCTGTGGTTGTGGAGCACGGGCCTAATTGTTCCGCGGCATGTGGGATCTTCCTGGACCAGGGATCGAACCCGTGTCTCCTGCATTGGCAGGTGAACTCTTTAGGAGGGCATGGCAACCCACTCCAGTATTCTTGCCTGGAGAATCCCATGGACAGAGGAGCCTGGTGGTCTACAGTTCATGGGGTCGCAAAGAGTCAGATATGATCGAGCGACTAAGCACACACGCACTGCATTACAGCCATGTTTCTGAGATTTGAGCAGACCTCAGGAATCGTGGCCATGGACTCCAGGCTGAGAACCATGGAGTCTCATGGCTGCAGGGGGTCGGCAGGGTAGACGGGGCCAGGGCAGAGCCAGATCATATAGGCCTTGGTGATCAACCCCTGGCACGAAGGGAAGGTTGGCCTCCCACCCCCAGCAGCCCCAGTCTCCAGTGTGGGGGAGGGCTTGTAGAGTGAGGCTCTTTGGGACCGTTGTGGGGTGGGTGGGGAAGAGGAAGTACTCTTGTTACAGAAACACCCTGGGTCTTAAAGGGCCCACACACAGACTCCCCATGGGGACCCTTCCCTTGGCTTTGGAACCTCCACCCACCCAGAGGGTGAGTCTTCTCACACAAGCCCTGCTTGGCTCCCCGCCCTTACCTGGGTGGGCGGATAGGTAGGCAGTGGGGTGATGACTGCATCAGTGAAGGCACTGCTAGCCTGGGGCCACCTGACAAGAGTGGATCTGCCCAGGCTGGTTTTTCTCACCGCACTCACAGTTTGCCTC